CGGGAGAACCCAAAGACACCGAAGTTGCTTTTTGACCGACCGCTGAGGCCAAATAAATAACGATCCGATTCATTTCTCTAGCTACGTCATTTCTCATCGTAGATCACCTTGATGTTTCCACTTTTTCCTAGAGCCAGCAGCCCATTACGAAAGGGTTCGCATCGGAGCGATTCCCGAGCAGGTGAATAAGTCAGCAAGACTCCACAATAGATTCGAAAGGTCTCGCAGGAACTTAAGCTCGTGAAAGAGATGTTGAGAGTCATATCCAGGCAGTAAGCAGCGATTTCCTCCATCTAGGCCAGATTCCGGGATAGCGAGAGATCTGTAGGATAGGCGAGGGACGCCAAGAAAAGCCGCAGCTCGACATCAATGTTCATGTTTGGGTGCTCATTAGCGGAGGATCCCAGGAGAATCTCCTTCTCGGAAGCTCTTCTCAATGGAATCCTGAACATCGCCGAAGACTCAAACGACAGGAGCCCTGTTAGACTTCCTGGGAAACCCCGAGGGGACCCCGGAGACGGTGCTGGAAGGGTCCGGGACAGGAGCTCACTTGCAACGAAAGACCTCCGACAGAAAAAAACTCAGTATGCGGGTCGAAGTACGCGTTTAGCTTACCCCATGATCGGAATTCAAACGGTTAACTCGGTACGGCGCGTCGGAAGCATGATTTCAAACGGCTGCTCAGAACTCCGCATCACAGCAAAATGCTTGTTGCTACGACTTGCTTGAACAACTCGATTCGTGCTTTCCGATAGGACGAACCCTTCGCTTCCGTCTCCATCGGACACTGCCATCGAGAATTCTCGAATTCCAGATGAGAGTTCCAATAAGCGATTTCTCGTTTGGATTCCGGAGCTCTCGCACTGTAATCGAGCCCGAGTGACATACATGGCCGTCTGCAACGGATTATATCTCCAATAACTTCGATCGCGGGAAATCGAGACGGGAATTGAGGGCGGCAACCAGGTTCCTCCAGATCGGAGCTCCCTGATTCACCCGATCAGGGAATGGGATTGCCTCTCGTTTTGGGCTCCCTCTCCTGAGCTCTCTGCTCTTCTTTTCCTGGTTTCTTAGCTGGAGCTCCTTTCCCGGAGCTCAAATTAGTACCTCCCTAATTCGAGCGTTTCAACGGTTGAGCCCTTCGCGCTCGCATCTCTATGTTCCCGACGCCGCTGTTGTGACGTCTCAGGCTTATATCCTGGGCTCATAGACTTCCACAGTATGAAAGCACGGCGCGGAATGACGGAAACGGGAGGTTTCTCGATGAACCTTCATCATTCCGCCCTCCGCACCACTTCGTCTAGTGTCTAGTAAGCCTGTCTGAGGAATCAAGATCATAATGATAACTTTTCGAAACGGATTCCTGTGAGCGGGGACTCCTGGGAGATCTTGAAGTTTGAATTGCTTTTCAATGAGATCCTGAACGTCGCTGAAAATTCATGCGGGGACACTTCTTCTCGGATGACACATCCTGGAACGGAATATCCTATTATTGCTTAGAGCTTCAACCTTGTTCAGCGCTTCGCTCTCCCCTCGAGGAGGATTCATTCAAGAATCGGTGCCCAATAGATTCAGCACACGAGCTTATTTGAGAT